CAATCAGCTGTTCTGGCTCGGGGCCAACTACCATCGCCCCGTGGACCTCCCAGACACCACTGGACTCACTTGGAGGGAAGGAGTTTTCCGGTGTCTGGGGAGTGTCCGGTCCAGAGCCAGAACCAGTCCACCGCCGTCCGCGGCTTCCCCAAGTTAGCCGGCAGTTAGTGTGGCAAGCCCGAAGGACGTTAGTGTGGCAAGCCCGAAGGACGTTAGTGTGGCAAGCCCGAAGGACGTGAATGTGGCAAGCCCGAAGGACGTGAATGTGGCAAGCCCGAAGGACGTGAATGTGGCAAGCCCGAAGGACGTGAATGTGGCAAGCCCGAAGGACGTGAAAGTGGCACGCCCAGAGCTCGCCCCAGTGTCGGCTCCAGCCCCAGGGCTCGCCCCAGTGCCGGCTCCAGCCCCAGAGCTCGCCCCCTCTATTTTAAAACCCACGAGCCGCCACTGGTTGTCAATGGGAAGAAGGTTTACAGTTCAACATGACAATGACCCAAAGCACATAGCAAAACTGCCCACACAGTGGTTCAAGGAGAAAAAGGTGAATGTCCTTGCCTGGCCTAGTCAGAGCCCAGACTTAAAACCCAAAGACGCTCACCATCAAATTTAAATTAACTTTTTTCCCGGATGTCAGTAGAAGAGAGTCTTCAATACCCGGAGTTTAGTACGCTGGCATTTGTGAGAACACAGCTGAACTGACACCCTATCCTAATTATTTTTTGGATTTGCTACAACATAATAAATGTTGTTTTGTATAATATAATACATAGATCATTTTGTTAAAATATATTTTTGCGTACATGTGTTTTCAGTTGGTAAATTGAAGAATATTTATTTATTTGTTTGTTTGTTTGTTTTAATGAAAATGGTGGTAGGCAGATTGCGAAAACGCTGCCCCATCCACCTTTTTCTTCAACGCGGAAGTTAGCCTATGGGCGAGACTTCCGTTTCATTAGCCGCTATAGGTAAATAATGAGAAGAATAACAACATGCAGTAAACGGTAAAACTGTTTGCACTACAAACCAGTGTGTTCATAATTAAGATCATACGTTAAAATAATATGGTAAGACACACAAAGTTTCAATATCAAGCAGCAAAACGAACTTCTTCTTCTTCTTTCTTTTAATGGCAACCGCACTTAACAGTGCATTACTGCCATCATCAGGTAGCTTGGATCAGAAACATTTCCTCTATCTCTTAACATTTGCAAAACTAACTGTTTTGTACAGCTAAAAATAGCTGGATGCGATGAGACCGGAAGTCAGACCCATAGAATTTACAAATGGTACATTTTTACTGCAAGAAAAAGGTGGATAGCAGAACTCTCCCGGATGTCGTTTACTACATCTCCCAGCATTCCTAGTGGTTCTTTGAAAAGTGGAAGTTCAATACACAGTTGCAGTGGATTATGGTGCGTTCAAGTCATGTCGGATAGATCGTATTTACGAGTTGAACGCACATGAACGCCACCACAAAGTCATTATTACGAGTGGGAAACTCGACATTTTCTTTAAGCCCCGAGTTTCCGAGTTGGGGGCGTGTCAATGAGAAACATGGCAGAATCGATGGCTGCAACGTCTGTAGTTGACGGTAAATTTTTGTTTAAATTGATAGTTTAGTTGTCCTATAAACTTAAATTGGTCATGTTCTTGTTACGCAGCTGACATCCAAGTAAAAAAATGCAGACCCTGTTGTATTTTCTTGTAATTTATTAAAAGAAGGTACACCGCCATCTTGTGCCGACTACACTGACTTGAACACACCTGACGTCGTAATTACGACTTGTCAACTCCTAAGTAAGAACGTCCCAGGAGGACTTGAACGCAGCATTATGTACTATTTAAGCAGTGAAGCAGAGACTATTGAGCATGTACTTCTACATTGTGCAGTATATACAAAAGAAAGAGAGGAGTTATTTAAGAAACTGAGGAACGTAGGAGTAATTAATTTCACTATATCAAATCTTTTAAGTTGTGCCTCAGGACAGACATTCTTAGTTATTTGAAGATAACAGGATTAGAAAGTAGAATTTAAATCTCATATCAATACTACCGGTTGCTTTATTTATTTAAAGTGTTTTTTTCCCCCTTTCTCCCTCTTTTCCCTCTTTCCCGTTAATGCTTCACACTCCAGTCCAGTTGGTGGCGGTAATACACCATAAGTTGGCTTGTCAACCGCCATTAAATCGTACAAGAAGAAGAATAAGACGTCGCCGCGATATCATTCACAGCATGGCTACGTTCAGTTTCACAAGGTGCTTAGTAAGGTCTTACTTTTGCGTTAAATGTGTAGATCATGTGCAAACGCGTTTGCAGACTACTACGCGAATGTTCTGTGTATCAGCATCACGCAGCAGTAAGTATAGTAAATGTGTACTGTAAATGTGACGTTAATGGTTATATGCTTCACAAGAGTGTAGAGTTGACCTTGTATATCACGTTTAATGTTTTAATGTCTCATGTGGCTGCTAAACATAAACATAAATACTAAACATGAAACATGAAAAGGTATTCTTATTTGTCAATTAAATGTTTTGATTTCATATTATTCTTTTAAGTTCCTTTGAGTGCCATGTAAATACTGTGCTGTGAATATGATAATGAAGTATATAAATAATATGGTATATTTCAAAGTAACATTTTATTACCAAGAGAAAACATACAGTAACTGTTCCATGCAACCACAGTACGTTTGAGTATAAGTGTAATTTCAGTCGATCAGTGTTTATTGATTTATTATATTTTATTAATTTTTTTGTCCCTTCTTCTTCCAATCTTCGTGGATGTACATAAAGCTCAGTTCACAGATACAGAGGTTCAAGATATTCTGACCAAAATCACAGGTCTGGACCTGAAGAAAGTGTTCCAACCCATAAGACAGCAGCTAACGCCACCTAAATACAAGCTTATGACAGACACAGAATTAGAGGAGGTGAGAGTTTTCATGACGGGTTGGGATTCATGATGGGATGGAATTTGTGAGATGATGGTTATGATAGGATGGGGTTAATGAGGGGCTGAGATACATGATGAAATGGAAAGAGATTCAGAATGGCGTTTGGTAATATCATGAGATTTATGGTGTGATTGTACAGTTATGCTGCAAGAAAAACTGCAGACTTAATTAGGTTCATGTGTTCTGCTGCCGAGCAGGCAGTGCGTAAGGCAGAGGAAGAGGCGAAACATCTGCTGAAGATGCCACCGGTCCTGCCTGAGAGGAAGCCTGTAAATGATGTGCTCTCTGAAGATCAGATGCTAGAAGGCATGGACACTGCTAAATACGTCTTCACCGACATCAACTTTAACGTCCCGCATCGAGTAAGAAAAAGGCATTGTGACCAAGTTTATCGTGTCTGTGTTGTGTATACTTTCAGTTTACATTTATTGAACGTTCCTGTTGTTCTAGGGTAAAAACTCGATAAGGCAATACTTTTTTATTTACTGTACTTTCTTGGTAATTTTCTGATCTTTTAATGCAATTTCAGACAGAACTTTTTGTGTGTATACATACAGAGGTACTGTGTTATTTCTTACCCATCTTATCTTTCTTACTGTTGGAATTTTGTTTCTCTCACCATTATTCTAAAGGAAAGATTTATAGTTGTGCGAGAGCCCAGTGGAACCCTAAGAAAAGCAACATGGAATGAGAGAGATAGGATAATACAAGTTTATTTCCCCAAAGAGGGTCGCAAGATCACACCACCACCCATTTTTAAGGAAGAAAACCTTAGGGTATGGAATGTGCAAAAGCTGATTAAGTCTTATCGATTTGCACATGTATTCATTTCTGACAAGTGTGGCCTTCTTTCTACAGGTGGTCTTTGAACAGGATAGACACGAAGATGTGCTAAACCAATGCGTTGTCCAATTTGAGCCAGACTCTGCAGAATTTAAGAATGTGAGTTGCTGACAGACAGATGTATAGAAGTCAGGATTGGGCGATAAGCTGTACCAGTGCATGAAAACATGCTATTCTGAGTTTTTTGGATAGCGCTCTGGTTACTTCACTTATTTTCTGTATACTTCAGTGGAAATAGTTGTGGTAGAACTGATTAATAATAGTTATTTGGTCTTGTAGGTGCTCATGCTGACCTATGAGGACATTGAAAAGCATGGGAAATACGATCTGCTCAGATCTACACGGTTCTTCGGTGGTTTGGCCTGGCATCTGGTTAATGGCCGGCGAATCGATGGCCTTCTTGTGGACATGTTGCAGAGAGACCTGTGAGTATGTGTGAGAAAAAAGGAATTATCTGGGTTCAGTGCATAAGCAGATGCAGTCAGTTTCCACAGGAAAAAAAATTAATAAAAAATTTTCACTCAGTTTTTAAAAAATAACGAAAACATACTTGGAGTAATGCATTTGCATTGAAAGTCTATTGGACAAGTGTACCGGAGGGTTTAAAAGCAGAAATTAATCTTGTATTTTTGACATGGTTTATGCCATAGAAATGTTTATTGTTTGTGTTTTTGAAGTGTGTCATCAAGTGAACATTATTGCATCGCTGATATAATTCCAATGGGGAAGAGTTTGCTCCATGTAAAATGTGCTTTATAAATAGTTACTTTCTGGTATTCTTGCATGTATCAATCATATTAAAGGAAAATGAAGAAACCACAAACGAAGCAAGATGAGTGAACATCAGTAAAGTTTGGAGGGAGCTTCAGTCTTTAAAGCTCTTGGCAGTTTTTGATTCGCTGGCATCGCTCACAGCTCCTTTAATTTCCATTTAATTATGTATTGTGTTGTGAGAAGTCTGGTTGCTTTGCATGATGATCATGTGTTGTCATGGTTACAGAATGCAGGATGCGGTGAGGTTGGTGCGTCTGTTTAACTTGGTTCATCCTCAGAGTGAGTCTGCACAGCATGCTCAAAGACAACAGGCCACTGACCTGGACCTGCTCAAGGTGAATACATATTGCAACAGTCTTCAGAGGTTCTTTGTGTATATCAATTCCACATCTGTTACTGTGACCACAAATTTGAACTACAGTTCAAACAACTACATATAATGGTTTGCAGTTTTGGTTTTCTATTACCATTTCTTACTGATACTGTTAATTAATGTGCCTGAAAAAATGTCATATAGTTACTGTGAGCTCCCGTGACCTCATATATGCACATAGGCCTGTTTTTACAAAAAACATTTAGGCTGTATTTAAACTGCGAGCCATTTCTTTTTTTTTAATATGTGTAAGTTAGGGCTGTCAAATAATCCAATTAAAAAATTCTAGGTTCAGGTTCCTGTTATGATTACACATGTAATCATAAATATATCGAATCTCCAAATGTATGTATGTAAAGTCCAATTGTCACTGATATCTAACTATTAACTATGACTTTTGCCTCAGTAAACTCCACATTTGCTGCTTATTAATAGTTAGCAAGGCAGTTGTTAAGTTTAGGTATGGGGTAGGTTTAAGGGATCTAAAATATAGTCATGCAGAAAAAGGCATTAATATGTGCTTTGTAAGTACTAAACAGCCAACATAATAATACATTTAATTAATAGTGAGAATTGGTCCTTAAAATCAATCAGCTCAGAATCTAACAGTGCATTGTTAATTAGAGCGCAAGTTTATCCACAAATATACTAAAATATTTACTCAAGTAGCACTGTTTAGCCATGCCATTCAGTTCACATACCTGCAGAAGAGATCAACAGAGCCAGTCAGCAAAACTCTGGAGCTGTTCAGACTCTGTTGAAAAAAAAAAAAAACACTCTTACAATAATGATATGTGCTTTTGACAACTCTGGAAACGGGGAATGAGGGGTCAGGCCCAGGGTACATCACTTCCCATTAGCCTGTGGTTAGACCTTTAACCCATGCAAGGATGTCATTCAGAGTGAATGAAGTAAAGAAGGGCAAAAACATTCTTGCCGAATTTTGAGATGCCACCAGTAATTTGCTAGAGAAGGTGGAGTGACAGGTTTTAATGTGTGTGTAAGAGAGGGTGTGTATCTTAAATTATTTGAAAGGAAATAGGAAAGCATGGTAGATTTGATGAGAGGCCACTGTTTAGTCACGGTTCCTGCTTAGTGCACACTCCACTCAACCCTGCCTTATGTCACACTGACCCTTTAACCCCTGTATCAGGAAGTCAAGCCGGTTGATGTATCCGGCTCAACTTCAGAGGTGCATTCAGTGCTTTTTTTTTCCCTTAAATTTTACACACAGAAATAAACAGCACTTTTGAGAAATATCATTTAAATGATTTAGACTCACATGAGATGAAGACTCTGAAAGCTGTTCTAAAAGCTGTTTACATTACCAAAAGAAAGAACAATGTAAAGAATAATTAATTAAATAAAGAATAATGTTCCTGTGGCTCAGTGGTAGCGCATTGCGTTAGCAAGCGCAAAAGGTCCTGGGTTCAATTCCCAGGGAACACGCATACTGGTGAAAAATGTATAGCCTGAATGCACTGTAAGTCGCTTTGGATAAAAGCATCTGCTAAATGCATAAATTATTATTATTATTATTAAAGATGTTGTAAATGTAAACATTCCATGTGAACCAACACCAGTTACTACCAGGGTTATCATCGTTAACTAAAACTAAAAACACAAAATTCATTACTTGAAATAAAATAAAATGAAAAAATAAAAGTTGGCAATGCAAAATGTCTTATTTTCATTTAAGTACTAAAGTAAAGTAGGAATGCTAAAGTACCCCCTATATATATATATATATACTGTACATACATATACATACTGTAAGGGAAACAGGTCAATTTAGCTCAAAGGGAATCATTTAAGATTTCAGAATCTGGAGGTACTTGCTTGCCTGTGAAAGGTGTTCCCTTCCTTGTCTGGTTGCCGAAAGGGGTTTCCCGAGGTTGCTGATTGGCTAGAAGTTCAGTCTTGGGAAGCCAGTGGTTGGGCGTTGGCTGACGACGGGGGGTT